TTACAATTTCGTCAGTTTCGGTACCTTTTGTCACCTTCCGTTAGTTTCGTCACCTTTCGTCAGTTTCGACATTTCATTATTTGAGATTTTAGTTGACGAAAGTCGAAATTAGGTTTCGACTTTCGTCAGCTAAAACCTCAAGGTTTCGTCTAACAACTATAAATAGACAATGATTATTTTTTTAATCGAAACACTAAAATATGTAAAATAATCTGTTTATTGTTAATTTCTTATTTGTGCTAATTTGCTTAATTGATAAATCTTTTTTTATTAAGTTGCTTATTAAGCTTCTTATTAAAACTAATCCAAGTATAAATTATATAGCCCTTTATGAATATAAAATGTAGAAAGCCAAGGCATCCTTACTTACATTTGTTTATTATACTGTATAATAAAATTTTAGTAATTATTATAAATTTATATTTTCATAATCTATTTTTATCCACATTATCTTCAATAACATTTATCTGCTTCATCATCTTCTATTAGTTTTGCCACCTTTGTAGTTTCATCAGTTTCTTTACCTTTCGACACCTTTCGCCAGTTTCGACACCTTTCGTCAGTTTCAACACCTTTCATCAGTTTCGACACCTTTCGACAGTTTTGTCATTTAGATTTTAATTGATGAAAGTCAAAACTAGGCTTCGACTTTTATCAGCACGAAACCTCAAAGTTTCGTCTAACAACTATACTATAGTAAACTGAACTCAGTGAATATCTGACACATTCATAACTACATTTGAAATTTGCACTAATTTTATTCATATGTAGAACAATATATTACTTATTTCTGAGGATAATTATATCTATTCTTTTTCTTTTTTGAACATAATTATACCTACTTTTTTTGGTGAACCTGACATCAACCTTACTGGACATGAGCGCAAACCTCCTACTGTATTTTTATTTCAAAAAAATAATATTACTAAAATGACTTCCTGGATTCTTATCTGTGAGCGCTATTGTTATACAATTAATAGTTCCACGTGAGTAATTGAATGTTTCATTTCGATATAATCAATTGACTATTTGTTGATTAAAAGTTTAAAAACAATAATTATGGATAGGAAAATTAGCAAATACTACAGATTTGTATGAGGACAAAATACTAAATTGCAAAATTT